TGGGATGCATCGATTGATTATAATGCATATTTTGAATGTAAATGAAATTCAACTCAGACATGGATTCACCTCCAGTATATAGATGACCTACTCCAGAACCACAGAAGAGAACGTTGTTTATGGAACATAAAAAGCTTCTTACATGTCATCAAGCTGCAAAAATGATTTGTTTTTGTTTTAAAGAGTCAGATCTCCTCCTTTGTGTTGATCTAAATGGACTGTCATTATCTAAAGCACCCAAAGACTGTGTGTGTGTGGATACAGTATCCTCCTGTCTGACCCCTGGATGCCAGTGTAGATGTAGACAGTGATGTGGTGTGGCACCATGGGACCCTCCCTAACTGGCACTGCGTTGTAATGTATACGTGTCTGTGTTTCCGTGAGTCGTGATGGTTTATGACATTCGTATGTGTGTGTGCCGGTGTGTGTGTGTGTACCTAGTAGTAGTACACGGGCTCGTGTTCCTGTCTCGGCCCCGGTGGCTGCAGGATACGGGGACAGTGATGTGGCTCGGCACCGCAGGGGCCTGTGTGTGTGTGTGTTTGGTACAGTGATGGGTTCTGGCACCCGAGGGCTGGGTCGACTGGTCCTGGGCTGGTGGCACGGACAGCGATTAGGACTCTGATATCAACCTGTCACTCTGAACAACTCTGACTGTCACAAAGAGGAAAAGAGAGAGAGAGACAGGGAGGAATCAGCAGAGATAATGTAGACGCTGAGTTAGTGTGACAGCTGAGGACAGAATAAAAGAACAAGGAGAGCAAGATGAAGAGACCATTAGAATTAGAATTCAAACTAGAATTAGTTCTAACTAGAGTTAGAACCAGAAACAGAATCCAAATTAGAATCAGAATACAAAGGCACACGGCTGTTGCCCTATATACATTGGGCTGCATGGTTCCAGTTTAGTTGCAGTTTTATTTTATTTTTATTTTATTTTATTTTTTTGTATTTCATTATTCATTTCATTGTTATATTGGATTTCATTATTTTATTTTTATTGTTATTATTTTGTAGTATTATATTTTATTTTATTTCATTATTTTTTAAATGGTATTATTATTATTATTATTATTTGCATATTTAATTTTATTTTAATTAATATGTTTGTATTTTGTATTTTATTTTTACATTTTTTTAAATTTAATAATTTGATTCCATTTTTTATTCTGTTTTATTTTTATCATTATTATTGTATTGTATTGTGTTGTATTATTTGTATTGTATGATTTTGTTTTTATTTTATTTAATTTTCGAATGGAGTTCTCAAGCCCGCCTGCTGCCGCTCACTCTAGCCCGCCGTGTGTTTCGTTGTGAAAGCGAAACTACTTTGTTTGGTCTTCCAAAAGAGGACACG